AAAAAAAAAACAATAAGAAAATTAAAATAAAAAATTTTTTTATTAATAGATTTTTTTTTCTCATTTTACGCTAAATAATAAAGCTAATAATTAAAAAAAAGTGTTGTTGAAAGAAATATATACTGTGTACTACGCGACAATTTAAATTTACGTTTGGAATTATTATTGTAATTTTAAATTAATTAAGTCAAAAATAATATCTGAAATTTTTATTTTGAAATTATTGAAAATATGTGCTGTTCAAGTGTTGACCATTGGCAAGCAATTTTAGCATCAACAACTGTTCTTGTATTCGTTAAAGTACAACGAATAAAGAACCAAAAACTGATGGCATTTGAGCAGTAGTAATTAGCTCAAGAAAAAAAGCATGAGTTGATTATACAGAATAATTTCAACTATAATTAGATTGGATGCTAACCAAATAAAATTTGGTAAGGCGAGTATTAAACGAATTATCAATATATAACATGTGAATAAAATATCAGCCTGAAAAGGAAAAAGTACTGTTGGTTTTTATTGCTTTTAGTCTATTGATTCAACAGTTGATATTCTTGGCAAGCGTTTGCGATGCTGCTATAAAGTTATATAACAGCAAACAATAACATTAAACGAAAATACACATATGTACAATAGACGAAGGAGCATTACAATAAATGAACGTTTGCCTTTATTGTTTTCTCGTTTTTCCTTTGTCTCGTTTACTGCATACAAATGGTAACTGCTAAATGACTACGGCAGTTACTATAATGTATACGTTAATAGAAAACGATGAGCTATTTTCACTCTTTCATTTTTGCATCATCTATGTATGATGTGATTGATCGGTTCTTTAATAGCAAAGCTATTCTGTTGTCTAAGTTAACAGAATCAAGGTTTTGTCCAAAGTGAGCCTGAGAGAACGAAAAAGCAGTCAAAAGCAATGAAAGATCGACAAAGTTATGCAGTGGAATAAAACCAGATTCCGCATAACCTAAGGTCGTTCGGAGATGTATTTTTTTTTTTTTTTTTGAGGGGTATACAGCTGCAATTGTCTTATAGTTTTAAAAATCTGATTGGAAGTGGTACGAATATTGCGTGGTGAGTGTTGTTGGCTACATTGTGTGGTGACGTAGACGACATAACGGGCGAGACTGGTTGGGGGGTTGGTTGGCGATGTTATAAATCAGAAGGGGTTAAGAGAACAAGTGGGAGTTGGACAGAGGAAAGTGGCAATGCAAGGAAAGAAAGTGCGTATTTGGCTTTGGATGCTGGGCAGCAGAAGACGCTGTTGTCGTTGATTTTTATCGGTTTTTGCAACCGGCAACAACCTAGTGAGCTGCTGAAGCTAGTGTACACGGATCTTCCATGATGTGCTGCTGGTTGTTGTTGTTGTTGTTGTTTCCCGCAGCTTAGCAGAAATTATAAAGCTGGCATGTACTCACCACAAAAACTGGTTGTATGGGTAGATTAGTGTTTTGGTTTCGATTTTCTATCTGCTTTTAGCTCTTTTTTTCTACCCCCCAAAAAGTTCTTTTTTTTTTTTTCGCTGGGCTTATTTATCGACATTCCATTTTCATTTCATTTTGCTTCCTTTTTTCTTCTTGTTTTTCCTCGATTCTGGCAAGCTTTGCGAAGTAGAACCGCATTGCACCATCCCGTTATTTCACCACCATCAGTTTGAAGCATACTAACGCCTATTATCTGGCCTCGCTCTACATGCGTCGCTTTGAAATTATGTCGATATAAAATTTAAAAAAGTTATGTTAAGTTTCTTCAACAGCAGTCTCGTTCTGTCCCTTCTAAAAATGTTTTTGTTATGGATTTCAGAAGTCGGCTATGGGTCGTGGACGAAGAGGTCAGGATAATGCTCGGTTAGTCCTCTACTTTTCTTTCATCGACCTTTCTGTATTTGCTAAATAATTCTTGAAAGATAGTAAGTTCCTATTCTGTAGGTAACATTCGAGGGTAGGCTTATCTTTCTTTTACAAATTTTCTTCTATTTTCTCTACCAATTTTTGATAATTACCATAATTAAACTGTAGAGTATTTTTTTGATCATTAACTTCGTTTTAGCTTATAGCTGATCAGTCTTGTGAGATGTTTAAGTACTTTTATTTACCGGCTTTGGTGTACTTCGCGCAGTTGAGACCCTTGAGATAAGGAGTGAAGAAAAAAGCAATCTGTTTTTTATGTCTGTTTTAATTTTTGGACTATGATATTTACACGAAAGAAGAAGCATTTAGTGTTTTTAAAACAATATTTGTTACGAGACAATATTATTTTTGAGTATATGGGGCTAGCTTGAAGTCTCATTTTTTCCTTGGTTCATTTACAACAACTTTTACTCTCCTTTGATGTAGCATCAGTATTTGATTTGATATTACCAGGAGGAGCGGATTCTTGAGGTGGGGGCTTAAACAGACTTGTTTAGTTTTATTGTGCTTTAAAGGTTTGGCTGTCTGTATAAATTTCGAAAATGATTTCTTGAAGCTTATTTAAGTTATGTGGAAGGGGTGGAAATAGTAATTTAGTCAGGGATGCATATGGTGAAGCCGTATATGAAGATAAAGTATCAAGTTTTTAATAACAATTGAGGAATTCTATTTTTTAGCGGGAAGCTGATGGTTGTTCAAGAACTGTGTCGTATTCTCTGAAGGCGCTGTAACAGTGAAGTCTTTCACGCAAAGTTGAAGAACATTGTCTTTTTTGAACCAAATTTCTAGGAAGTTTTGAAAGTTGCGGTGCGCTACCGGAAAGTTTCCTTTGGAATGATTGACCCAGCTGTTTTAAAGGATCGTCAATGTTTTTCATAAACCTTTTGCAAGCAAGAACAATATTTTTTAACTTACTTTTCTGTAGAAAAATCTGTAAAGGGCAATACTC